TTTTACAACTTAGAGGTGGTAGAAATGTGTGTGAAGCAGAAAAAGCTATAGCTGGATTCATTTACAAAGCTTGTGGAAATGTTAGGCATTTAAAGCTTATGGTTATTCACTATATTATTCAAGTAGTATTTTATGGAAAATATTTGAATATATCATGTGTTATGGAACCAGTATTGTCAATGGTGAACTTCATTCATTGTCAATGAACTTAACCATCATTGGTTCAGTGAATTTTTGTAAATCTAGAAGCTAATATCCTGACTTATGCTACCATAAAGTGGTTTGATGGCTTAGCAGTAGTAAAGTTTTATTCCAAGTTTTTGAGCATAGGGCTGAGATTAAATTCTTTCTGAGGAGAACCACTATTATCAAAGAAGAATGGATTTTGAAGTTATCTTTTGCTGAAGACTTGATAATGCTTCTTAATGAATTCAGCTATAATTACAAGGCAAAACAGCACTTACATGCAAATTTTATACTGTGGTAAAGTCCTTTTAATAGCTGATGTTGTGTACATCCCAAGTAATGTCAAGCTGCTTTCTATACTTCCCGGGTAGTCAGAAGTGAAAATGGGAAGCAAGATCTTCCTTCCCACACAAATTTGCAGCAGACATATATTCCAGACTTAAACTACAGTTCCAGAAGTGCTTTTTGAACTTAAATGCAAAGGCAAAAAATCATCTGTATTTCAAAATCCATTTTACTAAGCAATTGAAGAGCATCCACCTAACTTTTAATTGGAAATGATTGATTTGCAATGTAGTGGTATGCTAAACGGCACCTACCAATAGAAGGATCTCATAGAATTCTAAACTACCTTCCAAAAATGTATATGCTTAATTAAAATTATACACTCATGGACTAATAGCAGCATTTGGCAGTACCTACCTGTATGAAAGATATTCTCAAAGATGAAATACATAAAATTTCTTTATAAATCAACATTAACAGTTGAATATTTGTGATCAATTTTAATGATAGGAAACCTAACTTTGAACCTCAGTTAAGCAAAATATTATCCCCATTCTGAAATAATTCTGTCCTATTGGTAAACCAGTATTACCAAAAATTGTACTCAGTTATTATTATATTTTAAATTTCCCCAACAATTTTTTTTGGAAATTTGTTTTCTCTCTTGTTATATAAATGTCTACATAATATCCTCAATTTTGCCTCTTGTTCCACAGAGCCTAAGATATCTACTATCTAGGCCTTTACAGGAAAAGTTCACTGATCCAGATCTAAGTCACAGTCTTCGGTGCTTTGGTCCCTAGCTATAATATGGATATTACAATAGTAAATCTACTTCATGGCTTTGAGTTAATAAGTGTAAAGCATGCAGAATGGTGGCACATGGTAGGTGCTTTTAAAGTGTACATTGTTGTCTATAGCCATGCCACCCCGAACAAAGCCAATTCCATCTCATCTCAGAAGCTAAGCAGGGTTGGGCCTGGTTAGTACTTGGATGGAAGACCACCTAGGAAGAACAGGTGGTATAGGTGTAAAAAATAAAAAATAAGGGGTTGTAAGCTGACAAGGTCCTTGCAATCTGTGAGGTCAACCAAGGGTTGCCTTGCCTAAAAAAAATTAAAAAATAAATAAAATATAAGTTGTTACTAATAACTACATTTCTATAGCTCTTCTGAACTATACAAAGTTATGGTCATTACAAAAGATTATGTGTAGGCAGAGGGAGAACCCTGGTGAATAAAAATTTCCTTTACAACAGTCCTCTCTAAAATTGCCCTGTTGGGGTTTCACCTAATCCATCCCAGTTCTTTTTTTTTTTAATGTTATTTTGGGGGTGGGGAGGTGAGGTAGCAGTTTTATTGAGATATAATTCACATACCACACAATTCACTCATTTAAATTCAGTACATCACCACGACCATTGTAAAACATTTCCATCACCCCAGAAAAAAACCCGTGTTTCTCAAACATCATCCCCCAAAACTTCTCACCTCCCTCTAGTCCTAGGCAACAACTAATTCACTTCCTATTTCTATAGATTTGCCTATTCTGGACATTTAACATAAACGGAATCATAAAATATGCACTCTTTTGTGATTGGGTTGTTTCACTCAGCATAATGTTTTCAAGGTTCATCTATGTTGTAACATGTATCAGTACTTCATTTTTATGGCAGAATATTCCGTTGTATGGATATACCACATTTTGCTTATCCATGCATCAATTCATGGATATTGGGTTCTTTCTACCTTTTGGCTATTATGAATAATAAACATTCAGATACAAGGTTTTGTGTGGACATATTTTGTTTCTCTTAGGAATATACCTAGAAGTAGAATTACTGGGTCAAATAGTAAGTCTACATCTAACTTTTTGAGGAATTGCCAGACTGCTTTCCGAAGCAGCTGCATCATTTTACATTCCCACCAGCAGTGTAAGAGGATTCTGATTTCTCTACATCCTCACCAACACTTGCAATTATCTTTTTAAAAAAATTAATAGCCACCCTCGTGACTATAAAGTGATAGCCAACTCCCTTTTAATTCTCTGGGACGGAGTGCTGGCAAATCCACCTTCTTCACCACTCCATGCTGGGTCCATGTGGGGACCCACTCTGGGAGCCCAGCCCTGCAAGAGCACCAGGGTGTTTCCAACTGAAACTTAAGTTTTTCTCAGAGGAGAAAAGGATCCTAACTGGTAATCCCAAAGGATTACCAATGTGTCCCATTGGTAATTAATTGTTCAGTTCACAAACGCACACATCTACACCACCATCTAAGAAGGCGTTATTGGGAGATGTCGAAATATTTTTCACTGAACTACAAACACTTACAGGGAAGATTATTTAAGACATCTTGACTCAGGAGGAGCAAGGACAAGATCCTTCTAGAGAGAAGTTCTGTAGACACCACTGCCCAGCCCCCACCTTTACCTCTCACTCTCCATCCCTGTGATTTACAGAGACAGTAAGGAGCCTTCTGGGGAGAGAAACCAGGGCTGCTGGGAGAGAAGTCTCCGTAAGAGGAGAAGTCTCCGTAAGAGGAGAAGTCTCCCTGGGATTCAGGCCCCACATCAGAGCAGGAGGTGAGAGAGGAGGGTGGTTTCTGGTCCTGCCCTGTGTAGTAGCTACTGCACAGGGTGGATCAGAGATTGGGATATTTGCCCCCAGAGAAAGCCAGCCAATCGAGGATTATTTATTGTGTGCCTACTGTGTGCTGGCCTCTGCTGGGTGTTATGCTTACTTAGTGTAATTTGCCGAGAGTGTTTCGAGGTGAGTGATTCAAGGTGTTTCAAAGTGCTCCCACCGCCACACCCTGAATGTGTCCTTCATAGCATTTTGAACAGAGTTATTGCAGAAATGCTAATTTCATTTCATTGCTACATCCCCAGAGCCTGAAACAGTGTCTGGTGCTTATAGATGCTTTAAAGTATTTGGTGAATAAAGGAAAGAATCTAAACACTGGTTAGTGTAGCCCAAGTATAATACCTCAATGTACATATTTTATACTGTATTTTAGTAAACATACAGTATCGTTGAAAATTTCCTTTGTTATAATGACGACGTAATAGTCCTTTCACAAACTCACCAAATTTCATCTTGACAAAGCCCCAAATTTGACATTTATATAGTTTTGAATTTTTCTATGAAAAATAATGATGATACATCCTTGTATAAATGTCTTTGAGCACATGTCTGGCATTTCCTTAGAAATTGCTGGGTCAAGGGTTCCAACCATTTTTTAAAAGTCTGTAATACATATAGGCAAATTTCCCTCTGCCAAAGGCTGTGTATGAGGCCCGTTTTCCATGAACTATCACCAACAGCAAGCATTATCATTCTTTTATCTTTCCCCATAAAATGCCCACAGTCATAGTATCAGATTGATTCCTAGTGCTAAGCAACCTCTTAGGCAATTATGAGTATATGCTAAAGTTGTTTGTTTGTTTGTTTGTTTGTTTTTCCAAATTTGCCATTGAGAAAACAGTTCCTGGGAAAGCCAAATCAACGATTCCTTCTTGGAAGAGACATTTTACAGGTGGCTAGAAGCAACAACCACCACCAAAGAGAATGTCTGGATAAGATTACTGGGAAAGTTGCAAGTCAAGGTTAAGCCTTAAATATCGAGTTAAATATCATTATACTCTCCCCAGACTGAGTCAGCTTGAGAAGGGTAGAGGAGCCTTCCTAGTAATAGGAATAGATACTAATCTAATTAAAATCAGAAAATAACTCAGAGTTCAGCTCCAATTCAGGCTTGGTTCAATTTTCTCTTTTACTAGTGTGATATATTTTTCATGTTGATAATGCATATTTCTTTTTTAGTTAATTTACCTGTTTGCTTCCCCTGCCCTCATATTTTTGAAGAGCTTCTCCCTAATATTCACACAATGATTATGTCCTAGCACAGTGTTTTCCAAATTTCTGTCATTTTTCTACCACTCTCACGATTCTTGACAAAACATAAACAGCAGTACCCCCCTTATCCACGGTTTCACTTTCCTCTTTGGTTACTTGTGGTCAGTTGTGATCCAAAAATACTAAATGGGAAATTCCAGGTAGAAACAATTCATAAGTTTCAAACTGTGTGCTGTTCTGAGTAGCATGATGAAATCTTGCGAGTCTTGCTCTGTCCTTCCCTGGACGTGAATCATCCCTTTGTCCAGCATGTCCACATTGTATATGCTCCTAGCCTGTCAGTCACTCAGTAGCCGTCTCAGTGATTAGATCACCTTTCTGGTATCATGGTGTTTGTGTTCCAGTCACCCTTTTACATAATAATAGCTCCAAACTGCAAGAGTAGTGATGCTGGCAATTCAAATATGCCAAAGAGAAACCTTTTCCTTTAAGTGAAAAGGTGAAAGTTCTTGACTAATAAGAAAAGAAAAAACTCATATGCTGAAGTTGCTAAGATCTATAGTAAGAATGAATCTTTTCTCCACGAAATTGTGAAAGAGAAAAAAAAAATGCATGCTAGTTTTGCTGTCTCACCTCAAACAGCCATAGTGTGTGTGATAAGTGCTTAGTTAAGATGGAAAAGGCCTTAAATTTGCGGGTGAAAGACATGAACAGAAAATGTGTTTCAACTGAAGACAACATGTTGTGTCAGAAAGTATTAAGCCCATACAAAGACATCAACAAGGGATCCCCTGAAATGAGTAACACCAAACCATTTACTGCAAGTAAAGGGTGGTTATAAAGATTCAGAAATAAGTCTGGGCTGAAAAATGTAAAAATCACTGGAGTCTGTGACTGCTGATGAAGACTTTGCTGCCATATTTCTGGCAGATTTGAAGAAGTTTATTAGGGTTTAGTACTTTCCGAGCTTTCAGGCACCTACTGGGGGTCTGGGAACATATGTGCTGTGGATGGGTGATGGTGAGGGGGGCGGGGTGGGACTACTCGATCACCTCTACTTTTTCTTCCATTACATTTTTCATGAAATCAACTTATTTCTTCAGACTTAAGTGCATATACTTTTAAAATAAACTTTACATCATCACCTCAAATAAAACATTAGTTTCTTTTGCCATAAATAGAAAGTCACCGTAAAATAAACAGAATTCAAATAAAGCGTTATTGGATTCTAGGCATATATCTTTGATTGCCAATGTCTCTGTGCCTGAGACCTGCTCTCTCTTCCTTATAAAGGGAAATGTGTGAGTATTGGAGAATAGTTAAAGGTATGTTAGCAGTAAATGAGGTTTTCTCCTATAACCAGAATGATTGAAATAAATTTGATAGGCAATTACTTTCCCTAAGTGAATCAATGTTCTCTAATGCTGTGTCTATGGGACACTTGAAATCTTCTGTGCCACAGGTGCAGAGTTACCCGGAATCTTGTTAAAACACAGAGCTGATTCAGTAAGTGTGCGCTGGGGTTTGAAATGTGAGTTTGCAAAATGTTTCCAAGTCATGCTGGTGCTGCTGGTCTGGAAAACACACTTTGAGAGCCATTGTTCTCATTGCATCATCTCTCACTTTAGGAATAACTGGGTTGGGGAAGGCTGACAGGTGTAAACAAGAAACAATTACAAACCCCAAACATGTGCAGACCAGCTCCCATCTGTTGCTGGAAATTTTCTTCTTAAAGAGCAACCAGTCCAGACCCAGCACCAGCATCCCTGACAGCAAGTCTACTCTCTAGAACCACCTACTTCCTCTATAAGGAAACATGAGTTATAATTTATAACCACCAAGAGAGAGAGCTTTCTGACCTTAGTCAAACCTCACCATAATCCACTTGGTGAGATAAGGAGGAAGTAGATGAGAAGTCAAACCATTTCTTGGGGAAAGCCCCTCCATATAACTTCTCCAAGAGCTTATTGATTCCAGAGGATAAATGATGGTGAGAATTTTTTTTTTTTAGCTAACTAAATTCAGTGGGGGTGAATAGATAAGTGATTGTGGAGTTTCACAAGCCAAGACTCCAAAAGCCATTGTATATGCCTTTTCAAGTTCGAGGTGTTTTGGAGCACATCTCTAGTAATTAAAAGTCCACGTCGGCATTTGAACCTCTTCTGAGCCCTTGATATCCTTTGTGTGTGAGAAGAGGAAATTTCAGGAAGAGAGCTCTACCACAGTACTGCCTCCCAACAAACTGAACCACATTAATTTGTCCATGTTTCCTCCTAGTGCGTAACACTGTTTCTTTGGAAAGATGGAATCTGCGATCCTGACTTCTAGATAGATATCTGGAATATAGCTGGTGTTGTGCTAATAAATATCAGCCCTTTTCCTTGCCCAGGTTTTGAATCATGTGAGCAATAAAAGAATGTGGCAGATGGAGATGAAATATCACTTTTAATAAGGAGTTTAATTTTGGAGAATGTGGCTTAGGGCTACCTAATGATGAATCCTTTTCCCCCTAGGTACAACAGCTGTGAATACTCAGGTTCTTTCCCAGAGAGGAAAAGCAGAGGTGAGTATTCCTAATTTATTCTTCTGAAATAACTCACTACGCTTCACTTAGGACAGAGTGAATAAAGGCATGCTGAGAGGCCAGGAGCATGGCACTCGTTGAGTCCCCTCCACAGGGAAGGAAACATTGCCAATAAGGAAGAAGCATTTGCCTTAACGAGAAACTCTATACATTGCCTCCACAATCCTGGAATGTTGCAGTCTGGTGTGGACTGGGTTAGGAGGGGCATAATAGAGGATGATTGCTGGTTTGTACTGTATTGCTCATGTTTTCTCAGGTAAGGCCAGCAATGAGTCAGAAAGGCAGTTGTTTAGCAGGCCTCCATCCTTCCTGGTTACTCTTCATTGTATGCTCAGCAGAGAAGTGATATAGAAAACCAGGGGAAATATTGACACTGCATTAGTAGACATTGGCAGGAGAGCTCTGTGGATACTATTCCCTTGATATCTTGAATCCACACAAGATAGAGAAATGGGCTTTTTCTGGTTTAGGAGACAGGATTTGAGACTCTGCAGCAAATTTTGTGACCTCAGGCCACTTTTTCAGTTTTCCTAGATTCCTGGTTAGCCTATTATAAAGTCAATGTAGTAGGTTGAAATGCCATGAAAAAAATGGCAAAAAGGAACCATCTTTGCCATACATATATGAAGAACTCTTACAATTCAGAAATAAGATGACAAACTGAAACTCACATATTGCCAATGAGAATGTAAAATGGTACAACTTTGGGAAACAGTTTAATGATTTATTGAAAGTTAAACATATACGTAGCATGCGATGCAGCCATTCTGCTCCTAGTATTTAGTCAAGAGAAATGAAAGCACATATCCACACAATGACGTGTGCCTGAATATTCATAACACCTTTTTTTTGTAATAGTCAAAAACTGGCAACAACCCAAATGTCCATAATTTCTAAGGCGAGCATTAACCTGATACCAAGTCCAAACAAAGGCATTACAAGAAAACCACAGCCAAATAGTCCCCGTGAACATTTAAAAAAATCCTTTACAAAATATTAATAAATCAAAATCCAGCAAGAAAATTAAATACACATGTATATAAGTTTATCCCTTTTCCCAGGACTGCAAAGTTGATTTAATGTACAAAAATCGATCAGTATAATTCACCATACTACAGAATAAAAGAGAAAAATTCATATGATTATCTTAATAAAACAGAAAGAGTACTTGCCAATTCAAAACTCCAAGCCAACTAGTAATAGAAGGGTGTGTCCTCAGGGAGGGCTCTGCACATGATAAAGAACATCTATAAAAGCCTACAGCTAATATCATACTTAATGGTGAGAGCCTGAATGCTTTTCCCTTCAGGTCAGAAACAAGGCAAAGATGTACACTTTCACGACTTCTGTTTTAACATTGTATGAGAGATCTTAGCTATGTATGAAAGTGAAATAGAAGGCATACAGACTGGAAAATAAGATATAAAATTGTCTTTATTCACAGGTAACATGTTTGTCTATACAGAAAAATGTTAAGGAATCTACAAAAAAGCTACTAGAACTGAAAGGGAGTTTAGAAAGGTCATAGGATTCAAGGTCCATATAGTAAAACCAATTGAATCTCTAATATTAAAAAGAAAAACTAGTCTACGGCCATACCACCCTGAACAAGCCTAATCTCGTCTGATCTCGGAAGCTAAGCGGGGTTGGGCCTGGTTAGTACTTGGATGGGAGACCACCTAGGAAGACCAGGTGCTGTAGGCGTAAAAAAATAAAAAATGAAAAAATAAGGGATTGTAAGCTGACAAGCTCCTCGCAATCTGTGAGGTCAACCAAGGGTTGCCTCGCCTAAAAAACAAAAGAAAAAAGAAAAAAGAAAAAAGAGAGAAGGAAGGAAGGGAGGGAGGGAAGGAGGGAAGAAAGAAGAAAGGGAGGAAGGAACGAAGGGCTGATACCACATTAATATGAATGAATTTCAAAATCATTGCGCTGAGGGGGAAATGCCAGACATATAGTATATGCTGTGTGACTCCATTTATATACAATTCTAGAAAAAAGCAAACTAATCTCTAGTGACAGAAATCGGATCAGTGGTTGCCTAGAGTTGGGGATGGAGGAAGAAATGGACCATGAAGGGGTGAGAGGAAACTTCTGGGTGTGACAGGAATGTTCCGTATCTTGATTGTAATAGTGGCATCACATATATATACATCTATCAAAACTCATGGAATTTTACACTTTACATGGATTCATTTATTAATGCAAATTATACTTACCTTAATAAAGTGAGTTTTAAAAGAAAAGAGAAAATAATTTTTTTTAAAAAAAGGTTTTTGTTTAACTCCTGGTGCCAGGAATCATTCAAGCTGAAAATAACAGCACAACGTATGGGCTTGAGAGGTGTCTTTGCTAGAGAAAAATACTTAACTGGGCCTCTCTGCTATATAAGATACAGCCCCAAATCCTAATCCTATATGGAGACTTTTGGGACAACAAGAAACTAACCTGCCGTGTAATAATATAAAAAATTTTGTTTTTACTAGGGTCAGAGTTAAAACTCCAGCTAATATTCAGTAGGTGTTATCGGCTTCATTCCTCTGGCTGGGGCTGGACCCAGGGGGCAGTTGTGGTCCTGGATTTTAAGAAGGGAGGACTGGATTAAGAAGACCCTCATCCAACCAGTAAACCTGGTCCTTGGCATGTGGTGAGAAGCCAGGGGCTGAGGGGCAACAGGTGAGTAAAGAAACCGTGAGGTGGGGACATGACCAAGAATGAAGAGATCAAGTCATCTGTTTTAAGTTTCCCTTTTCAGAACTGTATTTTCTTCCTCCTTGACCTGTCACCTACAAGCGTCCAGTAAAGTTAGAGTAAATGCTGCAATTTGATATTAACTTTGAGGACATTAATGGGGGCTGTGCCCAAGTAGAGTGATCTGTGGAGAGCCGTGGAAGCTTGGAGACATGATTAGAGTTGCTAGACATGACCATCAGGGAGACCCAGAGTGGTGATCCTTGGCGACGGGTGACAAAAGCTAAGTAATAGTCTGGGGAAACATGTAAGTACTCCTCGAGGATTCTCAGGACTAAAGCTGGAAGGGAAGGGACTTCCTGCACTCACGTGAGGGGCGAGTGGAGCACACACTGTATTATCCGGTGTTTAAAGGAATTGTGACCCCTTAAAAGGTGGTAGCTTGGGGACGTTTGGGGTGTAAAGAGAATAATGACCACTATCACCCACCACTACCCAACTTTCCAAGTTATTCTGGACTATGACATGGAAAAAGTATCCACAAGGCCAGGTTCATATCTTCTATCTCAGAAATTCAAACGAAACCTATAGCATATGACCAAACCCTAACTAGTAATTGCATTTGGCTGATTTGACGTCAGTTAATGACTGGACTTTGTACCCGAAAGAGAGTTAAAACTAAAGATAGTTGGGGGAAGATCATTTTCTGCTTGGGTTACCCAGTGAGAAGATCTAAAATGAAAGCCTTAGTTCACTGCACTCTTCTCGCCCTCCTTTTTGTACCCACAGGTAAGAAACATTTTAAAACGTTTAATTCTTTTAATTATGTTTTGTTGTCCTTGTGATACAATCAGCAGGCTTAAGCTACTAATAATCTCTCAGCCCAACGGGTGGACTATTTTGTGGATGAAATTTCCTCTCCGAGCTGGCTCAAAGATAAGGTATTTCAGTCTGTGATGAAGGAAGATAGAGCAGTGGTAAAGAGGCCTCTGCACTAAGATCTGGGGTTCAGCAAACTGGAGATTTGTCCTGGAGAGTTCATGAGGCCTGGCAAGGATGACTTTGCAGGTTCTCGGTGCCTGGTGCCCTGCCGTAGCTTTCTCTTTGGTCCCCAGATGTCTTTTGGGCCCTAATGCAATGCAGGGACTTGGTTCGATCCCTGCTTCTGGCATCAAGAGTCTTTTGCCCCCTGACACAAGGGAATTAAGGTTCACCCCCAGGCAAATCCCTTCATCCCTCTGAGTATTGGCAGGCTCTTCTATCAAATGTGTTGCTCACATCTATGTCACAGATACTATCAGGCACAGTGTAAGCCCTTGATAAATGAGAATTGTAGCAGTTTAGATGGGTGGCTGGTGGACTATGTTTTGGCCCTAGAAGGGCAATCGCTTATCTCCTCAATACTCGGGAAAGACTATTTAAGTCCTGCTCCATTCCAGGTAAAGAGTCAGATTCTGCCATCCGGGGTTCACAGACCCATGGAGGATTCTGGGAGCTACTTTGCAATTTTCTATAGCCAAGGGTTTAGAAACTGCTTCCTCACTAAAACTTCTTCTTTTAACATATTATTTAACCGATTGTCAGTGTCAGAGTTCAAGAGACAGTTAAGGATTCTAGAAAACTGATAACTGGATCACTAAGAGTTTACTACCTCCCATGTCCAGAGACTCCTAAGAGTTGAAAATAGGCAACTTTGATTATCACCATAGCTCTTAGGGCAAAGATCATCTCTATTCATCCTATTCTTTAAAAAGTTCATGTATCTAGAATTATTAATAGGTAAACATTACACTAGAAAAATATTTTTGGAATTAAGTTTAATACACACTTAATGAGGTATTTTTATTTCATTATTCTTTAAACACATGCCTTCCCCTTCCCTCCTTCATACCCAACAACAGCCAAAACGCCATGTAATGGAAAATTGGGGACAATTGCCTGAAACTGTAAAAAGACAAAGGAGTCCATGTCCAGGTTGCAACAGTGCCACCTGGTGATATTTTCAATTTTCTTCACTGAGGACTACTCAGGAATATTAAACCCAGATTGACAGTTCTTCAAAGACAGGCATAAATAATACTACATCTTAATACATATTAAGATGACAGTTCTTCAAAGACAGGCATAAATAATACTACATCTTAATACATCTTTGTTATATTATAAATAACATTTTCCAAATTTTATCTGTTTAATTTTTGATTTTATTTATTATGGGTTTTTTTTATGTCTTTGGAAGTGGCCATGTATTTTCATTTTTAACGTGGTCAACTATATGATAAGTTCTCACTTCATGTCGTCGATAGGTCCTGTGACTTCAATTAAATGAGATAAAATGAAACCAATTTTACCATAGGATAATTGATATAAACAAGAGTTAAGTTCCTACGTCTATCAATGTTATAGCAAAACAATGTTGAATGAAATGACATTATTTGAGGACCTGCTGTATTTATTTTTCAGAAAAGAATGAATTAGGTATTAATTACAACTGACGCTTGAACAATACGGGTTTGATTTTTTTAAATCTAAGTATAACTGGACTCATGCAGTTCAAATCTGCATTGTTGGAGGGTCAACTGTAGTATTAAAAAATAATTGTTAACTGCCATTATATATTCAATATTCTGTCTTCTGAAACTTGGTATCTCTGTTCCTCTAGCCACAGCTTCTAAAGATAGTAACATCATGGCTCAATCTGATAACTCAGCTGCTGCAAATAATAGTGCCACAATGACTACACCTATTTCTACTATAGTATCAGCAACTAATACTTCTAATATCACATCAAATCCAGTTACAAGTTCCAGTGTCATGTCTACAAAATATCAATCAACCGCAATTATACAAACGACAGTTATCACTGCCAACACTTCATCTTCAAGTAATGACTCATCCACAACTGTTCCTTCCGTAACAACACAAAGTAACGATGTATCGTCCTCCATCACAGTCACAATAAGTGATTCTCCAGGGACTGTTCCTTCAGTGACTTTCAGCAGTGTCACTTCCTCAAAGACCAGCAACCCGAACCCTGATAACACAACAGGTAAGAGCGACTCCCTCAAAGACGCCTCACTAAGCAGTCATAGCATTGTGGAAAATGATAGGCAAGTATGTTTACTGGGGTAGGGAAGTGAGTAGGGAATATGAACCCTTGGAATTAAAAAATCTGAGTCACAAAGGCAGAGTAACGGTAGAGACTCTAAAAAATCACTTGCAGTTCTATTGTGTTCTTCTTTTCTTCATAATCATGCAACCTCAAGGTATTTGCCAGATGTGGAACATTTTTGTGAACTTGGACTTTGCAAAAGTTACTTCTCCAGCAGTCCTCTCTCCAGGAGGTTTTGGGAAATAGTTTCAGCTCCTCTGTGAAGGCCATATCCAATAAGCATCAACTCTTCAGCCCTTCTGGTCTAGTTCCTTTACCTAAGGAAGGAGTCTGTTTCTACCCTGACTCCATATTAGATGATGTAAAAAAAAAATAGAACAAGTTATGATGGTGGCTGATCACAATTTTAAGTTTGAGCCAGTTTTTGGAATTTGAACCTGAGGGATAGAAAGCCAAACAACCGCAGTGACCAGGGCCATTGTTCAAAGGACAGCTCTTCTGGCGATATTGTCTAGGAGATAACAGTCGACCATGAGTTAAAGTTGTTAAACCAACATTTGACTCATTTCTCTAAGCTTGGTCTAGAATAGGGGTCATCAAACTTTATCAATAAAGGCAAACTAGTAAATATTTTAGGTTTTGTGGGCCACAATAGAATTTCTCTTGCAACTACACCACTCTGGCATTTTAACATAAAAGTGGTCATAGCCAATATATAAATGAATGAACCCGGCTGTGTATCAATAAAACTTTATTTATAAAAACAGGAGATTGGCCAGATTTGGCTCATGAGCCATAGTTTGCCAACTCCTTGGCTAAGAGAATCCTCATACCTAGGCTTGAAAGGTCTAGATAAACCTTGTCATCTTCAGATAGGGAAATGGGGGCCTACAAGGGCAGAAACTTGCCCAAGGTCAAAGAGCAAGTTGATTTTTCTCTACATTTAATCTTTTAGTTCTTTGATAGATCTTAAAACTGGATGATTAAGCAAATGGAGCCAGAGCCTGTATCTGAGACCTGGTTCTCAGTCTTTCATGTTTGAATGGGCCACCCTGAAGATTAGGCCGAGTGGGACACAGCTGCATAATTGGCTTTCTTGGAGTCAGGGAAAGGAGTTTTCTAAGGCGTTTCTGCTTCTCCATTCTCTATGTTCTGGCCCTATCACTAACTAACTATGGAGAATGGGACAAACTACTTTTCTCTGGGCCTCCTCTGTATTAAGATGTGACTGAACTAAGTAGCCACCAAGATCTTTCAGCTATGACATCCTGTGACTTTATTCCTGACACACAGAACAAGCTGAGTTTGTCCTTTATTGCCAGAGAGAAAGCATTCCAGGAGTTATTTGTCTGGCAGATCCAAAGTGGTGCTGCACTTAGCTTCTTCTCTAGGATTTCCCAAGTCATCCTTACAATGTGACTGAGGCTTTTTTTACAAAAAGCTGTTTACTTCACTTAGAATGTCGGCTCACACCTTGTCAGAGGGGTAATCCTTACTGTTGTTTATGAGATACTACTTTTGTCTCATGTAGCATTTGTTTTTAACTCTGTAAAAGAAAAATTTTTAATAGACTTTATTTTTTAGAGCAGTTTTAGATTCACAGCAAAACTGAGAGGAATGTACAGAGTTCCCATATACCCCCGACGCTACATATGCTACATACGTGTAGGCTTAGTCGTTACCAGCATCCATCATCAGAGGGTACACTTGTTACAACCGATGAACCTACATTGACAGACATATCGCAATCAGCTCAATTTCCACAATCTGTGCTCTACCTATTCGTCCTTCTCTCCCACCTCCAACCGCTGGTGACCACGGGTGTTTTTACTATCTCATAGTTTTGTCTTTTCCAGAATGTCATGTGTTTAGAATCATACAGTATGTAGCCTTTTCAGACAGGCTTTTTTCACTTAGTAATGTGCCTTTACATTCCTTCATATCTTTTTAACACTGAATAATATTTACTATCTGGATGTACCACAGTGTTTATCCAGCCACCTATTGAAGGACATCTTAGTTGCTTCTAAGTTTTGGGAATTATGAATAAAACGGTTACAAATATCCCTGTGTAGGTTTTTGAGGGGACATAAGTTTTCAACTCCTTTGGGTAACACCAGAGAGTGCACTTGCTGGATCATATGGTGAGAGAGTATGTTTAGTTTTGTAAGAAATCCCCAAACTGTCTTCCAAAGTGGCTGTATCATCTTGTATTCCCACCAGCAATGTTGTTCCACATTCTCATCAGCACTATTTTATATTTTTTGATAAAAGTAAATTAGGCCCACGGTTATGGAGAAAGAACCTTAAACAAGGCAAAAGTATATGCAGAAAAAACTAAATCTCCGTCCTATCCTGAATCCCTAGGACCCAGACTCCCAGTTCCCTTCCCTAGAGGACAGTTCTATTGCCAGGCTCTTGTGTCTCCCTCCGGAGAAAATCTATGCAAATATAAACATACGTATTTGTGTGTTTGTGTGTATCCCCCTCTTTTTTTAATCACAAAAGAGAGCATGTTATACATGTTGTACCTTATATGTAGATTTTTTAAAAAGTCTATTTCTACCTACAGCTCTAAAGGTTGTCAGATACTTAAGTTATTCAGAAATCAAAGCTCAGAATCATTTCATCTGACAGAGATGAAGAAAATGGCCACCCATAATCATCATTTGGCCACTGACCTGACTTTCTTCCTTGGATCCCATCAGATCCTGGAGATAGGACATGTGCTGCACCTTGCCTGGTCTGGAGTCCCAACCAGTGGTGTGGGAACCATTATTATTTTCACTATTTATTCAAGTCATCCACTTAGGAAGCCAGAGAGCGGGGTGTCCTTTCATCAGTTTCTCTTAGAATTTTCACTGAGTTAAGCTACATTCTCCCCTTAACATTCCTTTTCTTTCTTTGTGGATCTATATACCATGTGCGCTAACTAAATAACTTCTAGTTTCTTTTTGGAGCTACTTGCCTGTTCCTCCCTATAAGACAGTTATTTATACCTTCCTAAAAATATGGTGCTTTCTCTAAAATGATTTCAGGGAATCCTATCTAGTGTCAGAGGATGAGACATCAAGGTTCTGGAGGGTCCTTAAGGCCCAAAGATTCCTGACTCCTTGGAATGAGAAGACTGCGCAGAGCAGACTCTTGCCCACCAACCTCTGACCCTTACTGTCGACAAGCACTTGGTTCCAGAATTTCAGCAACAACCTTCCTAGATACATAAGAAACTATGCATTTGTTTCTAGCTCTTCTAAGCGAATGCCCTGGAGTAACACAACCAAGGAATAGAAAGTGCCCAGGAGGGAGGCATGAAAATTTTTAAAGTATGTTTCTGGGTGTTGTTTGGTTGTTCTGTGGATTTTTCATCTTTTTCTACTCTATCTTAGGTTGCGAAGAAGATTCCTGTAGTGGTGGTGCTTCATGTGTTAGTCTGAATAATACATCTTTTTGCCTGTGCGTAGATGGGTATTACTATAATTCTTCCACATGCAATAAAGGTGAGTTATAAAGGATGAACTGTGCAGAGCTGCATTTAATACCTAAAGTGGAATAGAAAGAAAAATGGCAAAAAGAGTTTCTGTAATACTAGAGGTAGAAGAAAATTTGGAGGCAACAAAGGCCAGCAATGTAGAAGAATGGCTCCTGCCTCTGTCCCTGTAGAACCAAGTGTGAGAGGAAATGGACCAAGTCAGATTCCTGAGGTAGTCCATGAGGTCCGGAAGTGGGTGTGTCTCTTCACTTTATCTGTTAAAGGGAACAGTGCCATGAGGACAAAATGAGAACAATAGGTGGTGAGAGACCTGAAAAAGTACAAAGACTGCATCAATATATAGAAGTGCTGTTACATGGGGACATGGACAGGGAATAAAGTGATATGCCTAAGACCACAAGGTCAGACAAGCCTGGGAGCCTGGTCTTCTGACGTTGGTTCAGTTCTCTGTCATAGGATTTGCTTGCTCCATATCAGCAAACCCCATTTTTGGAGACTTAAGAGACTCTCATCTTTAGAAATGGACTTTTGGAGCAAATTGCCATAAACTTAACATTACACTTTTTTTACTTAAATCACCTGGATGCTTTAAAGGTCCAAGGCTGTTTCCTGTGTTTTAAGTTATTACTTGTTTCATGAATGAGAAGTACACCCCTTTGCCAGAGCAGATCAATTGTATAGAAAACAAATGCATAGTGTTGGCCACAGAGATTAGAGATATTTCAAAGCCAAAAGGATGTTCTTATTTTTATCACTAATAACCTCATATCTGAAGATCCACTCTAAGGAAATGACCCAAATATAGAAAGGCTTGAGCATGAAGATGTTCATTATAACCTTTTTTCCCCTTTTAAAAATAATTAAACAAAATTATTGTGCTATAAACAACAAAAAAAATGACTATATATCAATGAAGGGCACATATATTTCATAGACTACTATACAACTTTTTAAAATGATAGTTATGAAGACCAAGTAATGATTTGAAAAAAATGCTTATTATGTAATAATAAGTAAAGAAGATTCATGATCTAAACTGGAGTTATAATGACATAAATCATACATAAAGAAAAGGAACTGGGAGAAATATAGGTTTCCCCTGCTATCAGAAAGTAGGGCATTCCTAAGAAACCTTTTGTAAGCTGAAAGGGTGTAAAGCGAAGAAACAATTACCTTAGGACACACTTTGCTAACAGATGCACAAAATCAATCTAGATACAGCACAGATGTTCACAGATGCAGTTCAAAGCATTGACAGCTCGATGCTGAGATGCCAAGTGTAGTTCCCAGGGAAGGAGCGGGCGGAGTACGTGTTGCCTCTATAACAGCTCGCCACAAAACAAACGTTGGACACTATTTTTGATTTTTGCCTTTTTTCATAACGGCAAAAATCCCCTTTAAGTTTCTTTTAGTTATAGAAAACAGGTACTAATGTAGGTCTTTAGTAAAAGCGAAGTGGTGTAAAGCAAACTTTTGAAAAATGGGGTTACCTTGTACCAAAGTGAAAATGGTTGTGTTCGTTTGGGTGGGATTTGGGTTAACATTTTTCATATTTCCAGGCTTCCTGTGGTATTATCATACAATGTTTAGAATTTTTTTAAAAGTATGTTTTAAGCAAAATGAAAATGACCCTCTTTACATTAAATATTACAGAAAGATTCTGCTTAAATTTCAGGAAAGCTATTCCCTGGAACAATTACAGTAAGTGTAACAGAAATATCTGGCTTGCAAGATGGACATTCTATAGCCTATGAAAAATTATATCTAAAAGTTACTACATTTGTAAGTATTTCCCCACCTTCCTTCCTGTATAAGTGTCCTTCATTCTAGCACTGAGTTGCAGAGCATAGCACTGATATTCAGGTGGTCCACACTGGTACAGCTGTTCCAGTTGTTCAAATAGTGAAAGACACCCTTACCGATTGGCAAACAGCAGCTGTCCTGAGCCCTCTTTGTGCCACTCTCCACAGAGGACCAGGCTCCTACTCCAGGACCCTTGGGTCTCCCTATAATCCTGCATCTAAGTACCACCTGGTCCAGCAGAGGGCTTTAGAAGCTTGCTCCAGCCATGCTATTCTTGTTACATAAGCTATTAGAATATTTTTAAATGGACCAGTAAATACAATGATGTTTTTAAATGAATTATTTCCATAGAATTGAAGAGAAAAAAAATTAAAGATTTTTTTATTTTATTTTTACATTCCAATTTGAATACATTTCTGTACAAATATGACTCTTTTCGGTGCCTAGGAGAGGACCTCCAGATGAATTAGCATCTGCTACTTTTTTTTTCCATTGTCAAAAATGTCAAAATGAACAATAACTTTATTTCATTTTGATTATTGTGAGTGGGTGCGTCCACGTGAGACCTGCATTCTAGAACCACAGATGTTAGACCTGGAAGGACTTGCAAAGGACACCCATCCAAAGTTTCTCAAAGTTGAATGGGAATCTAAGAACTAAAGTCTTATTCTACAACAATGTCTTTCAATTCAGAATTATGTCATTACAAAGGAGTTTTGTTATTAGAATTGGTAAAGTGTAAAAAATGATTATCTAAATGATTTTACAGATTATACAGAGAGAACTAGTGCTCGTGTATGCCAGGGCTTGCCCTGGCCCCATCGTCATACCACCTGTGCACGATGGGCCAGCTGGCCATGACTTCTCCTTTCATCTTGGATTTGCATTCCTATTTGCCAGTTTCGATGATCATCAGTACATCAAAGAAAGCAACATCAATGTGTTGCTATTTCCAGGGAGGCCCTTGTTTGTCTTGTGTGGCTTTACTGACAACTGGCCACTGTGGCCACTACATTTCCCAAACTAGCTTTGGGTGTGAGACTTGATCTTAGTCAACCCACCTCCACCTCACCCTTCTAGAAGTCTCAGCTTTATCTCTGGCCACTTCTCTACAAGTGTCTAGAGTTGTCTCTGCTCCTAGAACACAACTCAAGACTAAGATCCACCTGTTTGGGAGCGTCTTCCAATTCACAAAGTCATGTATCATATACTCCATCTTATTTTCTATATACTATAGCCCTACATGGTAGGAATTACTGCTATCTCAAGTTTTCCAAGGAGAAAAGTGAGATTCAAAGAAAAATTGTGCAACTTATGGAAGAGAGTTCCTTTGAATTTCCACAGTAGATCATATCACTCTATGGCACTTACATGTCTCAATCTTGTGGTGTGGTCCCCTATTTGATCATGGAGCTGGGTCTGCCCATCTTTGTAATCTCTTAGTCCCCTAAGATAATTCCTTAGGCAATTAAAGAAGTGTTCCTTGTGTAAATTGATGCATGCATGAAGCACGCATATAGATAAGTCTAACAAATATGCCAAACTTTCCTGTGACTTTGAAAAGACAAACTTAATAATTTAGTCACCTTAATTTTTAAGAGTATGATCATCGATTTGGCTAAGTGTTTGAGGTTTCCATCTTTTTCTTAAGATAACCCTAACTTACAGCAAAATATTACTATTTTACAGCAAAAATGTACTGAAAGGCATTAGAGAGCATGTCAAGAATAAATAATTTGCTGTGATGAACCATGTAGATTTACATAGAAATTTAGAAATGTATTTATGTTAAAACTTAGATATAGTATCACTTTTCCCCCCCTCTTTGTAGTTGTTATTAAATCTATTCTTCTCTTCCACAGTTTAAAGATGCATTTGTCAATACTGATTATGGACAGACTGTAATTAATAAAGTAAGGTAAGTTTGCTATGGACCAATGGAGTACTTGGGAGGCAGGTGTGCATTTCTCTAACTTCTGGTCTTCTCTTGACTTCCCCATGCTGCGCTAAGGCCCTCTAGTGGGAAGTCACAGTCAAGAAGAGGTGGTCAATCTGTCACATTGACAGTGACCTGGATGGGCAAAGTGTAGTTTGGGGACATCAAGATGCTGTCTGTGTTGGCTATTCAGCAATTTGCACACATGGTCCAGTGCATCACCTGGATCAGTTTGTTTGGTTCGATCCCTTGGCTACAAACCACACTTGGCCAATCCTGGGAATGTGCATTCCAGTGGCCTAGGAGGAGAATGAGTGGCTCACAGTCATCTCTTCTCTCATACGGGGAGAGTAAGGGAGATAAGCACACCCAAATCTCATACCTGGCTTCTGAAGGGCCAGTAGTGAGCTCTTTCTGCAGTGAGAACAAGCATTTATTGAGCATATCAATATACAGTAACCAATGTTGTTGCTAGTTAGGGATCCAAACAGGCAAAGAATTCTCAAGAAAGCGATTCCATTTCAGCCTTCTCTGAAGCCTATTAACACACAAGTGCTGCACCTGAGGAAAGAATACTCTAGGATAAAGTTAAGCAGAAAAAGGAGCCCTAATATATTCATATTTTATGGTTTTACTATTGTTAACTATCTTTATAAACTTTGTCAAATTCTTTGTGGAATAAGATACAATGTATATTTCTACATATAAATTCACAGAAGGCCTCCTGAAAATGGTGAGTTTTGAGTTTGGTAGTGAATGAGAGGCAAATATGATTGGCAGCCGGGTGACCAGCATGCAGTCTAATGGGAGGCATAGTGCCCACATGGCGAGGGAGAGGCAGCGGGCAGAGAGGCTGGGCCCCAGAGTAGAGGCTCTAAAGCTGGACATTCACAGCAGACAGTTGCTGGAGGGCTAGGCTTTGTTTCAGGGCATTCAGTTCAGTTTAGTGGACAACAGGGAGTGTATGCATTGGATATGACTGGATAAAACAGGAAAAGTGAGGTGTGATGGCCTCAGCCAAAGCTGTACTTCAGTCCTGGCCTTGACGCTTCCTTCCTGCATGAATGGGCAGGAGTTTTAACCTCTCTGCACTTTTATTACCTCATCTGTATACCTGGGATAATCTGATCAACTTTCCTGGAACCTTGTGAGGAATAAATGAGATAACATTAGAAAGATCCCATGCACAAAATGCCTGGCACGTAGATGATTTCAACATGTGTTAATTCCCTTCTGTTTCCCTTCCAGAATATGAGACTCCGTAAGTGTGATGGAGAGCTGGTCCCATAAGTTCACTTAGGAGGGTCCCTGAAACCTGGCACTTCTTTTGTTCCTACGGAGTCACTAGAAGGGGGCTAGGGGTGTTTGGAGACAATCTTTTACCTGTGAGCTCAGTGTCCCGGTGAGGGACTACTTCCTCCATGGATGCTGTGGCAGTGAATGGGCCTTAGTCTCACCTAGGAAGACATTTCTTAGGCTCCAGTCCAGTGTGCTCTCCTTTGAATCCCCAAGATCTTTATCTGTTGTACAAATGTTGGAATTGGAAAGATACTCAGAATATCTCTAACTCTCAAATCTCTCTTTGAACAGAGTCAGAAACTCAGGTTTAGGAAAACTGTGACTGGTCTTGGGCCACAAAAGATGGTGACAATCTTGGGTCTAGACCTCACGTCTCTTAACTCCAACTCTAGTGCTCTAGTCATTTAAACAACACCTTTTTGTGTCACTTAAGTACACAGTGGCTCTCTTAATTCATGAGTATAATGTCTGGCCTCCTAAATTGCCATGTAAGCTAATAGAGTCTTTGAGTAAGTGAACCGTGGATTTGTTTCCTAGCCTCACTACAAAGTTATACTGTAGATTTCTGCTCATTTTTTAACTGATAAAGAATCGCTTGTGTCAAGGACCCCTTTTTCATTGCCTTCTATCTTCTTTGTCATCTCCAAATCCTATCAGGAACGAATTACGGGAGACAATTTAAAATGAGAATTCTGAAGCCACTTTTTTTTTTGGACTCCCTTTTGAGGTGACTGTTCCTAGGAACAGAATTTGGTTAATGTTTTGGATTATCTTGATTGTTCTGAAGAACCAACATGGCTGTAAACATTTCCTAAATAGGTTGGTTATGTTTTCAGGTTTATGTATTTATTCTAATGTCAAAATGGAGTAGAGGAAAAAGAAAAAAAACTGGACAGGAAAAATATATCCTGAATCTTAAAAACACACAGCCGCAAATCAGATAGGGATGGGAGTTTTTAAAAGTCTTTTTATTTCATTCTCCATGGTTGTATCACTTGATTCCTTTTGGGCAGTGAAAGAATTAGAACTTGGCTCAGTTGTTCTTAGGGCTCCAAACTGCAATGCTGATTAGAGAGAGAGAGAGACTCATACAGACAGTCAATATTTGGTGATATGATTCGGTATCATATGCTCATGTTCCCCACTGCCCCCATCTCTCTTTAGTTCAGTTTTCCTCTGAGTCATGTGTGCCTAGGCCTGATTGTGTACCCACTTTGCCTATTGATTTCCTGGCCATTTCTGGGTGTGACCCAAACTCTGCATGGTTGTCTGCTGTTCTCTCTGTGCCCAGGGAGGAACGCATGCCCCTTTGTCTCTCTCAAAATACAAGTCTGAGATTTAACAGCTCAGCAAGAGACTTACTCTTTATTTTCTGCAGAAAGTGACAACTTACTACTTCAGATGTTACTTGTTCTACATCTGGTTAATTCCAGGCTCCTAAGTCATTTTAGATCCTCAAAATGATCATCCAAAATTTTTCTCAGTATCCTCCAACGGGGCATTGTTTTATCCATAGATTTCCTCTGAATACACATCGAATAAAGATCTCCAGGCCTATAAATTGCCATCTTGTTGCAACCCCAGGCCTCCACATTTGGGCCCCAGTTGTGGATATAGGACTGTGGTTCAAGACCAGAACTGGGAGATTTGGGAGTCAGGGAGGTTTAAAGTTCAATTTGTTGATGCTTCAGTTCAATTAATCAAGAGATGGATTCATTTCATTTTTAGAATATCACCTTCAGCAAGATCTGAATTTCGTGCCGGTCAGGAGGATGTTGCTGTAACAGTAGTAAACCTTTTTTCAGAAACTACTAAAGAAGATGAGACGAGTGTATCTGCTACAATTGACAATGCAATTAAAGGCAATTCTGTTGGCATTACAAAATATGATGGTAAGTATTAAATAATTTTATTCCAAGTTTACCTGAAGACCTACCCACTTTTTTATAAACTTTTCCATTGTAGGTGAGAAGGGGGAAGAAGAACTGGATAACTTGAGTCTGCAGATGTCTCCAAATTTCCTTTTAACCAGTCTATTCTTCCTCCTTTTCTTCTCTCACCTGGCTTTGACTCTTTTCCAACCATCTCCCAAGTTGGCAAACTGACCAGTTTGTTTTCCTTTTGGAAGATAGTCCTGGGCACATAGTCTCGGAAACAAGGCAAAACAAGGGGGCTTTATACCAAGTTACAGCTTTCCAAATGATTAGAGAAAGTTTTACTTATATACTGTTTCCCCTTTAGGCTGACACACAAACCTGCAGCATAGCTGTAACAACTCACTTTTGCTGTGTTGCGAACCATTCCACAACTTGGTGACTTAAAACAACAACCATTCATTTAATACAATGCCATCATTCCATGGGTCAGAATTTGGACTGGGCTCAGCTGGGCAGTTCTGCTTATCTAGGCCAGGCTTGGCTGATCTCTGCTGAACTCACTTAAGCAATTGCTGTTAACTGCTAGGTAGGTCAGCTGAGGGTTGACTGATCTAAGATGGTGCAACTGGATGGTTTTTCTCTTCTCCATATATAGTCTTTCATCCTCTAGGAGGCTAGTTCTAAAGGGTTTCAAGAGCAGCAAGAGGGTAAGTTTCAATGCACAGGTATTTCTCAGGTCTCTGCTTACGTCATGTTTACAACTGTCCTGATGGCCAAAGCAATTCACAAGCACAAGGTGGCAGGCCCTACCAAAGGGCCTGGATACAAGAAAGCATGAATAAATTGACACTATTACTTCAATCAACCCATTACAGCAGTCATCAAAACTTCCTCATGTCAGAGACATCTGTTAGGGCCAGGCCTGGTAGAAGATTTGTGCGACTGGTTCTCAGTCCAGGTCGCCAAATCCCAAGGCCTCTGTTAAGGCACAATTAATTTGACTTTTCCGTAGCATCTGACTCTGGCACGCTTCCCTTCAGAAAGTCCTCTTCTCCCTGGGATTCTACCCACCACTCTCCTAATCTCCTTTCTGCCTCCCTCATTCTTTTTTTTGATCATCTAAGATTCCTTCTTTAGTCTCAGATGTTTGCTTTTTAATCATTGTAACCTCCTTGGCCTAGTGTGCAAAGCTTATTTCTCTTTCTGAAAATATAAACAAATCCTGTTCATTCAGTTTTTCAGCACCTATTCTCTTTCTTCAAGATTTCACAAAGATCCTCACTATTCTCTCAGGACCTGGATTGTAAATGCTCTACGAGAAAATGCTTAAAATTCTATCAGAAAAGATGGGGGCTCCTTTATACTGTTCCCTCTCCTTGGGCTGCAGTCTCTTTAGCAATGTTCATTCAACTCTTTTCCATCTAAGTATTATTTTGGCAGGAGAGACTGAAGAAAAATAGTTACGGAGCTATTCTGTCTTTCTCATGTTATCCGTCAGCATTACACCAACCAGGCCTGGCCTTTGCATGAGCCCCTGTAGCACAGAAACACACACACACACACACACACACACACACAGAGAGACACAGACACACTGACACACAGACACAGAGACACACAGACATAAGGGCACACACACACACATACACACACACCCCTCCATTCATTTGCCCATTTTTCTATTTTAACTCTTTGCTCTTTGTTGTTGTTGTTGCTGTTGTTATTTTGGGTTTTGTTTGTGGTGAACGTGAGCTCATTTGATACTCTAGGCTTTGTCACATTTTTAATATTCCGTCTTTTGTTGTGGGACTTTCTTTACATATTTCGTTTATGTCTTTCATAGGATAGCTTCCTGTGCAAAGCATGCCAATTTCTTAAGTTACCCGACCCTCTCTCCCACTTTTTTCTTACAGCTCATTTAGCAGCTGCACAGTTAGAATCACATTTTCAGAGCTTCTGATCTCCTTAAACTATTTTTATCTTCCAGCGTCTCGTGCCACAGAATTACACCTTTTCCTTTCTGAACATTTCCGTATTTCCACTGTCAAAGTCATACTCTTCTCTCTGGCTATCACTTAGTCTTTGTTTTGCAAGGGACGCGTCACTCCTACCTGCCAATCAATTTTTCCTTGGGTCGGAATTTGGTGCAGAGTGACAATTCATGCAGGTAGCACCTCTATTCCCTGGAAGATCACGTTGTCAGCACAGCAAGACAAACCTTATCTTACACTCTGCTTTTGGCTTATCATACACTGTGCTTTTCTAGCAAGTGCGAGGAAGTCAAGAGTCCCCATCAGCATGGAGACTAACCAGTCAGAGTGATTGCCAGCTGAAAATAATCAGTGCATCCTTCCAGATAAAGTTGGGGTCCCCTGTACAGTTCTCTCATTTTGGCTCTCCTTAGTAATTTGTTGCCTTTAAGCTGCGGCATACTGTGACCATTTGGCCTCAGAGCTGAGAATCGCTCTCCACTCTGAGACCAGGCATGTGCTCTTAGTTACATTAGCAAATTACCAAATGGTGCCAGCTAGCGGTGGCCATACGAGCCTAAACCGCCCAGCAAATGAAAGTGAGAGACTCAGAACTTCTAGAGGAATACACCTTTTCCTGCTCTCCTGCTTTTGCTGCAAAGACAGATTCTCCATTCTGTGTCAGAAGCTATAGAATCTCTTTCTCTAGACTTTTAGTTGGAGTTATTTTTAAATGGCAGGTGATGAAGGAAGGTTTGTTACAGATCTGGAATGTTTAGAAGAGAGTAAGCACATAACTGTTCTACCTTCTCCTGTTCTCTCCCCCTAATCTGTTCTCAGATTCATCTTTTTATTCCTAATGCCTTCCAATGTGCTCCTAGACTAACATTCTTTTTAAATTTATTTTTCAATTACAGTTGGCGTATGATATTATATTAGTTTGTTGTACAACACATTTATACAACTTACAAAGTGATTACCCCAATAAGTCTAGTACCCACCTGGCACCATACATAGTTATCACAATATTATTGACTATATTCTCTATTCTGTACTTCACATTCTTGTGACTGCTTTTATAATTGGCAATTTGTACTTCTTAGTCTCTTTCATCTTTTTCACCCATTCCCCCAACACGCACCCCGCTGCCCCGAATCTGGCAACCATCAATTTGTTCTCTGTATTTATGAGTTTGTTTCTTCTTTGTTTTTTCATTTATTTTTTTAAGATTCCTCACATATGTGAAATTATATAGTATTTGTCTCTCTCTGATTTATTTCACTTAGCATAATACCCTCTAGTTTCATCCATGTTGTCATGAATGGCAAGATTTCATTCTTTTTGTGGCTGAGTAATATTCCATTATATATATGTACCACATCTTCTTCATCTATTCCAGACTAACATTCCTAGAAGACTGCTTTATCATGCCATGCTTCTGCTCAAAATCTACCAGTGGGTTCTCAGGCTTATAGGATAAAAGTCAATGTCCTTAGCCTGGCATTTAACCCTGCTATACCTATGAATGAACAAAAGAATGATTATTTGTTGGGGCTCCTGTAGTGGGTACTTGCATTTACATTAGCTCGTTCAATTCTTACAATAATCATGTGAAACAAGAATTATTAGCCCCATTTCATAGATGGAGGGAACTTGGGCCCACCAGAAATCAAATGCTTGAACAGAGAAAGCCCATAACCAACAAATAGCAGATCCAAGAGTTTTCTATTTTCTTCCACTCCACCACGCTGCCTTCCCCCACCCAAATATAACTCCACTACTCCCTGACTAGAATTCTTTTCTTCTTTTCATGTCTTGTTTATTCCACTTAGAAAGACTTTGCCCTTTCTTTGACTGTTCAAATCTTCCCTGTCTTTCAGAACAGCCCAATTCCCATCTCCTCCATGATGTTATCTTTAGCTTCTTGAGCCCCTGAATTCCCATTGTACTTAAACTCCGGATTATGAGTTGCTTGAAGCAACCCTCTATGGATCCAAACATGTAACTCTACAAAGATGAGACCCAAAAGTTATATAGCTACTGTGTCCCTTGTGGAACCCAGCACAGAGCTAGGTACAAAAGAGATTTGTGCTTGAACATAATTGCACTGCATTGGATTAGATTCATTTGAATTGAATAATATAAGGAAATGGTTATGGAAGAAAGTTGGGGAGTTGGATTTCAGAACCCCCTATTTTCATTTGTTAAATCCCAAAACTTATTAAAAGGCCATTATAACAACTGTGGAGTGGATACTTTCATGAGATACTTTATCTACATTTCTCACTGAATATTCTTCTGAATTATTTGTGCCCCCCAGGGAAAAGTCTATGTGACTTTTATGGTTGTGTAGAGGCAGATGAGAAAGATGACTGTAGCGATGGTTTGCTATGTACATGCAAGGAGGGACTGGAAAGACCTAACCCGCAGATCGCTTTATGTGTTGGTAAGTGTTCCACCTCTTCTAAATATTCTTCACAATTCCTACCTTCTCTCCTTTCATATGTGTAAAATACAAACTTTACTGCTCAAGTCTCCATGTGCATTTCAGAGTCTAAGGGATACGAATTTTGGCTTTAGACAGGCAGACACGAAGTGTGGCCTTGGCTGTGAGATGGTGAGGCAGCCGTGTGCAGCTTCACAGTGGGGCATGTCACGTGTACAGCCAATGAACATCTCACTTTACCTAGAAAAAGAAATGTGGAAAAATTGTATCCCGTGACATATCACTTTAGGGTTGAAGAGATTGTTTCTGAAAATTACCCAGAAATCATTCTGTTTTGAAGCAGCAAGTTGTCCTGACAACTGCAATGCAGAAAACAATAAGCAATGCTTAATGGACGGCGAGGTCGCTAAATGCTCGTGCCTGCCAGGCTACAAGCAAAAGGACGATGGGACCTGTCAAGCGTAAGAGATATTGTTCCTTCTTTATCTTGTCATAGCTACAGCTTATGTATGGGATAAAGGATAAAAAGGATAGCACTTGCAACATAGGTCGGGAAGTTGGTACGCTGGCATAAGTTGGTAGGTATACAGCATCATCATCACCATCATCACCATCATCATCATCAGTAATTTTTGAACATTCTTTATGTGCTAGGAACCTCACTAGGTAACACTTCTCACAATAACACTGTCAGGAATGGATTAGTTCACCATTTTCAGGGGAGGAAACTGAAGCTCTGAGAATATAATTTGCCCCAGTTTGCAAGGCAGCAGATGAGTGACAGAACCAGGTGGCCTGGTAGCGCAAAGGGATCCCACCTGTTCCATGCCTCTGGGGTTCAACTTTACCTGAATTGCTGAATATTCTTAGTGCTCAGAGGATGCAATATTCAGTCAGTAGCAAATGAGACCACATGGAATTGTGTTCCCCCCTCAAACTTCCAGAGCTCCTTGGGAGTATAAGGTGGGGTGGGGGGGAAAGAAGAAGAAGAAGAGGAGAAGGAACAAGGGAGGAGAGAATGAGAGAAAGATGGAAAAGAAGACGTGGAGGTTGGGTGGGAACGCAGACACGCTCTCACAGAGGCTCTTACTGTGGCTTCCTTTTGTGTGTTGTATTTTAGGTGTGCGTTTGGCTACGGAGGAGTCAACTGTGAAGATTGTGAGTATGAAAGACCTGCTTTGCCATTAAGCACTTGAGAAACAGATTTTAATCACATTCAAAATTCTATCCAGTCACCCAAAGTATCTGGCTATCTTCATAAAGAGGGGAAAAAAATGCCTGCAGTTTGTCTTCTGGGCCATGCCATCCCATGCCCACTCTTAGGTCACAGACAGCAGTACCTTTGCTACAGGAATCACAGAACTCAGCCAAAGAGGTGGGCTGGCCCCTCTGGCCATGTCCCCACTCAGCCAAGGGCATCTTAACATCTTATTCATTTCTTACATTACATTCATTTCTTACATCAGCCAAGGGCATCTTAATATCTTATTCATTTCTTATATCTGCATTTTTTACTACTAGAAAGGATAAAAGACCAGTATATTCCAAACATGTTTGTGGTTATAGAAATCAGATATTTAAATACTCAAATCTTTTTGTTTCAGAGTTATTTAGTAGTTTGAGATGTGTCATTGCAAATTCAATTGCTTCACTTTCTCCCATGTCTTAAACCCACAAGTTTAAGACAATACTAACTTTATATTTAAAATTATTTTATATTTTAAAATTTACATAATGAACTAAAGATCATTGATTCAAGATGAAGGCGATATTACTGTCAGCTTCCCAGCCAGCCCCAAGGTTAGTAAAGAGAAATGCTCTCAACTTCTACCCTGCTTTATGGCTGGATTTCCTAAGTCATCTCTTCCTTCTAGGCTTTCAGTGTCCATTCCTATAAAATAAGAGGTTTGGGCCAGATGACCTTTGTGGTCTTTTCCAGACTTAATGTTCCATAAATCCAAGATGCAGGTTGCTTATATTGGCGTCATGTCGCAACGAGAAGAAAGGGTTTGGAGCAGCACTATCTAATAGAAATATAATGTGAGCTTTATATTTAATTTAAAACTTAAAAATTCTAAGCAAAATTTTTTAAAGTAAAGAAAAATAGATGAAATTGTTTGGAACAACATTTCCTTTCACTCAATATATCAAAAATACTATCATTTCAATATGTGATCAATATAAGAATTATTAATGAGATAGTTTACTTATTTTTTTTTTCAAATGTGTTTGAAATCCGCTGTGTATGTTACACTTACAGGTCATCTCATAGCCAAATTCCTAGTGCTCAATAGCGCTAGATAGAGCAGATCTAGAGGAGGGGAACAGTGGTAATGAACCTGCAGACTCTTCCCTCACCAGTTCTCTCAAGCCATCACCTGTCTCCTCTATTAGTGACGTTTTAACTCTACCTAGTTTCCCCAGCTTATGCTCAAGGCCAGGTGTGGTGGGCGGGCCAAGGCAGCAAAGGTCAGGAGGTGCTGTGGAATTCTCTTGAGATCTCATCCCCCACAAAGCCCAGGAAGGCCCTGCCACCATGGTCTCCTTTGCATTTATACTCTTCTTCTGTCTGGAAAGGCCGCCTCTTCTGGTTGAGTCCCAAAGACACAGTTGGGGTTTGGAGAGGGTTAAAGGAAGTGAGCCACCCACCCAATCTGGCCCGGGAGGGGTCAGAGGTGACAGCCTGATTGTCCTCACAGCCCAGAGCCCCTGGGGACAGACATACCTGTGCAGGGGGTGGGGGGGCCCACTTGTGGGAGGCTGCCCTTATTCTTTTCTTTTCCCTTTCAGATTTTCAGCTGATCCTCATTATCGTGGGCATCGTCGCCGGCGGCCTCATACTTGCCATGATGATTGCCTTGTTCTTAGTGAGGTATGGAATGACAGTGTCCTTGTCCCAGGGCACAGCACCACCAGCGTCACACTCTGGTTTCCAAACATGCACACATAGCATTTCCCTGGCAAGAGAAAGGAAGTAAGGCAAGGCCTCTCTAAAACCACATTTTTTCCTTACCTTAATTTTCTTCTGACTGTGTAAGCTATACATGATCATTGAAGAAACTTTGGAAAATAGAGAAATGTGTAAAGGAGCAGAATAAAAAACACCATCCACAAAATCCACCATCCTTGGCATATATTCTTCCAGGTTTTTCCTCTCTTGGTAAATGTCATTACATACATAGGTTTTTATCCTTTGTGTTTAAAATAAATTTTTTGAAGTTTATTTTTCACTTAACACTATAATGTGACATAGCAATCATTTTCTTATGTCACAAAAAACTCTCTGTCAACAGTATTTAACTCCATCGATGTTGTCAAATATCATTTTCATTAAGTCAGGCCCCTGCCCAAGGACCTTGCTACAAATGGTAGAAAATCAGCCTCAGCTGGCACCCCCTGGTTTTCAGTAGAACCATCTCTGCGTGGCCATTTCTCCACTATGGAGGCCTTAGTGCTCTTAAGAACTTAAGTAGGGTCCATTCATTTATTTGACAGACACTTAAATATGCTAAAGTTCCCTCCATTAACAGGGAAGGCGAAAGCTATTATCTATCCCATTCTAAATGTGCCAAGTGGGGATCCACTTTGATAAAAACCAGCTATTTTTTAAATAACATTTAGCTTATATAGTTTGGCAAAATAGGTATTTTTGCACTATAACATGAGGATAAATAGATTTTAGGTTCCTGAAATATTTTGTTTCTTCTTTTTAAAAAAAATTCCGTTTTGATATTAATTCTTCTCCAGACACAATTGAAGGTGTCTCTCCCTTTTCTAGGGAGCGGGCCAGAACATTCTATTGTGGAGCAAGGCTGTCTCCTCCTTTCTCAGCATTGACTCAGTGTCCTGACTCTCCAGCGTCCTTGGGGGCTACTGTAGAACCTTGTGACCCCAGCGACAGCCATGTCTCTCAGCTCCTCCTGTTTGCTCTGAGCTCAGCCTCAGATGCATCATTCTTGGAATATCCCAAGAATTATTTCTTGCCCATTTCAAAGGGAAGAAAGCCTCTCCTCAGTCACTTTAGACAGGAATGTTGTCAAAGGGCAGAAACTGTTGTGGGCGGGGCTGGCCATCAGGGTCACAGGGTAAGAGGGTATTCCTTTTCGACATTCCCAGTGTGAATGAGGCAGGATGACTGTCACCCTGGGAGTGCCCTGTGGGCATTATGGAGGGAGCCAGTCCCACTCCCCCAGTCTAGAGCACTACAGGGGCAGGCCCATGGCCTTTGGGACAGAAGGAATGTCACAATCAGGATTAATTGGAGGCAGATGCCTCCTTCACCCGCAAGAGCTTCCACTTGGCTTTGAATGCTTATCCTTGAGAGTACAGCCAAACCTGGGAAACTCCTATTTCTTCTTTTAAGACCTTTCTACCTTGAACTTGTTTCATTCACTGAGGTGCTTCTGTAGACATTGACTTTGCTTGAAGGTAAAATCATATTACAAATCGTCTTTTCTCTTTGCCTTCTACTATTACTTCCACAAACAATTCTGAAGCACTCTTAGAATACTAACGTCATTAGTGAAATTTACATGGGATCGTTGGAATTAGATGGTCATGTTGCATCCGTGTTAGTGTTCTGGTTTCGATGATTACACAGGACTTATGAGGAGACTGTCCTTAAACTTAGAGAATCTACACTGAATGAGGTAATGAAGTATTACGGGCAATAGGGTATCAGGTCTGCCACTTATTTTTAAATGGTTCAGAAATGTTAACAATTGGGGAATCTGGGCAATTGATGTGTGAGAGCTCTGTGCAATAACTTTTTTGATAAATCACATGTAAATTTGAAAATATTTCCGAGTTTTAAAACATTAACATTTGCTTTAAAGAATCTCCGCCATTGTCAGATCCTAATTCCTGTTACTAATTGCAGCTCAAAGAAAAAAAAGAATACTATTGAAGAACAGAACTTGATTAAGAATGACTTTCAAAATCTGAGACTGCAGGAAACAACAGGCTTCAGCAATCTAGGAGCAGAAGGGAGCATCTTCCCTAAAATCAGGACAAACTTCTCCAGAGAGAATCAGTTGCAGAATCCCTATGTAAACCAGAGAGGCATACCCCACCCTGACTACTAGGTAAGTCAATGGGGTCTTTTTATCTTTTCTGAGTGAAAGGCCCCAGGGCAGAGTAGGGACCTGGCTACAGTATATCTGGCAGGCTTTTTCTTTTTTAACCAAAACAGAAAGATAGGAGGAAGCTCATTGCTGTGGTAAATAGACGCCACTTGGTCCCTAACACTGACCATCTAAGTGACTTTAGCCACATCACTTAATTCTTTGGCCACCTATTCCTTCAGTTATAAACAAACAAACAAACAAACAACTTAAATTAGATCCCCGAAGGTTCCTTGAAAATACAAACTTCTATGGATATGACGCCAGTGGTTGTCTGGGGTCGAGTTACAATTCCCAGGCTGTCTAAGGACCTAGGTCAGGCCTGGGGAGAGGGGAGCTGTTGGATGTAAATGTGGTTTTGTGGACCCTTTCCAGGCAGCCCGTGGAAAGGCAAATCTCTCCTTTCCTCTGCAGCACCCCCCCACCTCCACCCCCCGCCCAGACTTTGAAGCGACTGGATGGATTTCTAAAGCCATAAGACAAGTCAGGATGGTGAAGGTTGATTTCCCATGGAAGGACTGTCAAGGAGACTAAGCTTGCACTCATTAGATTTTTACTGGGTAATCATAGCTGGCATTGCTCAGTGTGATCCAAAGGAAATGCTGAAGGGAGAAAGCCTGCAGGAAGCGATGCTCAGGAAGAGTGACAAGGGGATTGAGACGGATGGAAAGAGAGACGGTGGAGGATGGACAGACAGGGGGCTGGAGGAGAGATGGGGAAAAGAAGGCAAGGAGGGAAATGACTTTTTTACAAATAAATAAAAAGGAAAGAAAAAGGGGGAAAGAGCAAAGAAGGAGGGGTTGGGATGAGGCATACCCAACAAAAGTAGAAAAACAAAGAGGACAAAGAAGGAGGTGGACACAGGAGGGTGGTAGAGGTGGCTGAGCCGGGCAGGCACAGGCTCCGCACCCTCCGTGTGCCCGTCTCACCCCTGCAGGCTGCTCAGGTAAGCACACTGCCCTTGAAGAATATTAACGCACTGTGAACATTCTGGGAAAACCTGGACTATTTTTATTTTGAAATCCCATGGTTTATTTTGCACATGTCATTTCCTTGAAACTCGAAAATCTAAAGGTTTAACGTGGGTACAAAGGGATGACTTGCACAATTTGTACTATGTTGGGTCAGACACAGGGTCTAGCCAGCAATAGCCAAGAACGGACGTCCTGTGGGAGCGCCTGTCGGCCTCATCTAAGGTGAACCTTAACCAGCAAATTCATTAAAAACCTCCTTTCCTCCTTATCAGTAGAGCCCTTACTTCAAGTATAACCTCTAAAGAGAGCCATTTAGTGGTAGAATAAGTGTGGGATTTAGAGTTAGACAGACCTGGGTTTAAAGCCTTGCCCTTCCTGTTACTAGCTATGCTGTCTCGAATAAATTATTTGGCTTCTCTGGGTTTCTTTCTCATCTGTGAAATGGACAAAATGCATCCTACCTCATAGGATAAGATCAAACTACTATATATAAATCATCTAGCACAATAACTGGTTCTAATTCGAATAATAGTATTCAAGTAATGTTAATTGAAATAATGTTAATAATTTATGAATCTTAATTTTCTCATGTATTTCTGTTGGAATATTTCTTTTCTAAGAATTTTCCCTCTCTCTCTCTTTTTGTCTAGAATGGCAAAAATTTGGAACCGTCCATGGCCCTCAACTCAATGTATGAGCTTTTATTTTACATGTTTAAGAGACTGATAGAGAAGTGAGTCCCAAAGAAGATCTGGCCTTTGGCATTTTCCTTCCATCTGGTGTCTAGCCTCTCTGAATGGAATTTGTGATGTTTGCAATGAATACAACTTGTTTGCTAACTAAGTATCTAGGAAATTAAATGCACTTAGATGCTATTAGCACTTGTAAGACAGTTGATTTTCTCCAGTTAGTACAATGGTTAGGTTTTTTGTTGTTTGTTTTTTTGTTGTTTTTTTTTTCTGGTGAGTAACAATAACCACTTCCAGTCTAGAAGAAAGCTCCCCCAAATTGTTTACTCCCAGGAGAATGTTGTTCTTGAGTTGATAGACTACAGATAAGTGACCTAATTCTGGAAGACTCTTACACATCAGCTGTGAAAGTCCCTGGGGATGGGAAGGGGTATCATCTTTTAAGGTTCTCCTTCTGTCCCTCAATTCTTGGGATTTCAATGCCCTTGAACTGCCTGGAGTTTGTGAGCAGGCCTCACAACAAGAAGACAGAAAAAAGGCAAGTCTCCCATCTTTTTCAAGAGGACTGACTGGGAATACAGGACCTTTTTGATGTTAATTAGAAGGCATGGACTAAAAATGTCCACCTTGGGGTGCATTCTAGAGTTTTTGAAATGACAGTGTGTGGGAGAGGCAGAGAAAAAAACGTGACCAGCAGCAGGAAGAATGGAGGCAGAAGAAAGCTGGACTGGGAGGAGGAGTGAGGGAGATGGTCTACAGCCACCCCTCCTCACTGAGCAAATGGCCGCTTGCTCTAATTCATGCCCTGCCCAAGACACAGAGCCTAGAAGTGGTATGAAGGCAAAAACCCCAGGAGCAAGAGCTTGAAGTCGCTTTGAAATTGCAGACATTCTGTTTGGCTGAGATGAGAGAGGGAGCTTGTGCTCTGGATCTGGATGTCCAGCCTTGTGATGCAGATTCCAGAGGTACTTCAGCCTTCCCTTGTGACAGAGGCTTAGCTGTGGCCACCAACATGTACACACCCAAGAACGGGGGCAGTCACATTCAGCACAGGCTTTCTTTAATGTTAATAATGTCCTTGTTTATATCTAATGTCTGGTCCCCTTGCAAATTATTTTTATTTGTTGTTATTATTATTGACTGTTAACTATGAAAGGTAACAAATAAAATATCTTTGGTAGATGGTGTCCTTCCTTGCATTCAGGGCTTTTGGTGAAGCACAGAGCAGTAAGTCTCATTTTCCATAGCAACCAGACACACGGTAAACTAAACTGATGGACATCTGCTGTCCTCCTTAGGGGCTGCTGGATGACCCAAAGAATATTTTAACAGGTAGTAGATATTTTTAGCTGTTTCCCGGTTCACATCCTACTTCCCTCCCATTATGAAGTAGCTAAGCCTTTTGGATGGGACTGATTCTACCCCTAGCTCCCAGGGGTGGCCTTGGTTGGCCCAAGCCAATCGATGGGATCGCATCCCAATAGCCACAGTGACTACTGACTTAAGAGTGAATACATGGCATAAGTGGGTGTAATTCGGAGGAAGCCCAAACTCTGGTAAGCAGCTTGGAGGAAGAGAGACTTTTTCTCCTGGAGAGTGAGCTTAAAGATGTGAAGCCTCGAACTGCTTCAGTTTTGCCTAGCTGACATGTAGAGGAGGGCAGAGCTGAGAGAATCCGAGAAAAATGGAGCTGGAGCACATACTCAGACCATACCTGAAGTCTCTGGATTTTACTGTTAGGCTGGTTTGAGTACAGGCATACCTCGGAGATAGTGCCTGTACAGCCACTGCAATAAAGCAAGGCGTAATTGTTTTGCTGGTGGAAGATCTTGCCTTCAATTTGTAAAAAACACAACACATGTGAAGTACAACAAAGCGGAGTACAGTAAAACGAGGTAAGCCTGTAGTCATTTCTGCTTTTGCAGCTGAAAGCATCCTCACTGATACCACTTGTGTTTACTCATGTGTTCTCAAGGCTAGGTGGTGAAAGGAATAAAAGAAACACTCTATGAGCTATTAATGCCCATGGTGAAGACATTAGCCACCAACCAATTGGTTAACAGCAATAGAATTAATGCAGACATAACTTAATCTTGTTTAAACTGTAACTTGTCATCACAGACTATTTCTGACCTGCATATTTCTTCCTATACATTTGAAGATAGTTCTGGATCCAGCACCAGAAGTGGGCTATTTTCCCCTCTTTTCTAAATATCCCACCTCCCTGGTGCTCCTCTGGATGAGAGCATGCCAGCTTCCACGGCTTCTCAAAGATCTTGGGCCATGCAAACTCTGGGCTTCTTGGACCAGGGTACCATGCATTCTTCAGAGACTTTCATTGCCATTGTTTAAACAATGCTCTAAATATGTACATATGTATATGAAAATGGCTTTTGCATTCAAAGTTGCTTTTGATTCTTACAGAATATGGCCTATGTAATTCATGTTGCTGCTCATTGGGACCTTTGCAAAGGTTTTCTAATTGATTGGCCTGCAACCTTGAAGGGCTAAATAAAATTTCAGAATAAATTTTCTAAGATGCAAATCTGATCATGACACTGCCTTGCTTAAGGCTTTCAGGGGTTCTCCACAGAGAAAATAAAGTTCATAGAATCAAGCCAAATTCCTTGTGGCTCATCACTTCATATCATTTGGGTGTCGCCACCAACTGCTTTCACTTTGCCTCATATAACGCCCTCCAAATGCACTAACACTGGCCATACCTGCTGCTGCTCCCTAAATAGATCAGCTCTTCATGCTGCCATTCTTTGCTCATACTGTTCCCTATACTTGTAATATACCTTTCCTTCAACTGCCCAATAAACACCTTCATCTGTCCAGATCAGCTAAACCATCATCTCCTCTGATCAGCCTTTCCTACTCCTTCCTTCTCCCCACAGCTCACTCTCAAGTAGAAGTATGGCCTCCTTCATGTCCCAGCTGGGTCTTGTCACCAGTTCTCCTGGGGGAGAGGTTGTGCACGGTATGTGTTTCCTTTTCACCCAGCACAATGCCTGACATAGAATGAATATTAAATTATTGTGAAATGAGAGTATAAAACCAGACCCTTCCAATTCAATCTTGAAGAGTATCTTCCTTATCTTGATTGTGATGATCGTGTTACTGGCAATTAGGTGTCTGCGTTCTATGAGTCGGGGCTCGGTCCTTGGTTGCCCCAGGAAAGATTTACGTGGAGGTCTGACACTCAGAAAAGAAAGGGCAGACAAAAAGTAGCAAACAGAAGTGATTTTATTAAGTAAAGTACACTTGGAAGAAAGTCCAAGTGAGTAGCTTGATA